AGGCCTGCATAGAATTGTGTGTGTGTGTGTGTGTGTGTGTGTGTGTGTGTGTGTGTGTATGGGCTGGAGCAATAGCACAGTGGTAGGGTGTTTGCCTTACAAGCGGCCAACATGGCCAACCCGAATTCGATTCCTCCGCCCCTCTCGGAGAGCCCGGCAAGCTACCGAGAGTATCTCGCCCGCACGGCAGAGCCTGGCAAGCTCCCCGTGGCATATTCGATATGTCAAACACAGTTACAACAAGTCTCATGATGAAGACGTTATTGGGCCCACTCGAGCAAATCGATGAACAACGGAGGACAGTGACCCGTGACCCATGATATATCTATATATATATATCACAAAACAAGGAAACAGCTCTCTCCTACAGCTTGAGGTTGAAAGACTATCTTCTAAGCAAAGTTTCTTCCCTCCTGTCCAGCCAGACAGAGGGCAAATGAACCTGCACATCAGCTTCAGCAAGACTGCATGTCGATGCAGAAGCTCAGTGAAAAGCTTCGTGTGTAACCATTACACAATCCGCCCCAGCAGACCGACCGATACTCTGATGCGTGAGTGGGCATTCAAGTCCTGCTGCCGCCTCTTGATAAACTGTTCCCTGGTGAATGGAAAACTACAGGAGACAAGCAAAGGTGTGCCCTGGCCTCGCTTCTCTACTGGCCAAAAACTTAGCTGAAGATTCTCCCCTTGCTTTGACCAGAAATAAGAACTCGGTGGCCACTTGAAAAGGTATTGTAATTCTCCTAGTCCCACAGCAGTAACTACCTGATTGCCAAAGAGCGAAGGCCATGGAAAAGAGCAGAAGGGGCCAGAGATATGCCTGGGAACTTACTCGGTGCTCTGCTATGTGATGCCAGGTGTTAGACCTGGGGGTCCCACACACAAAGCCTGTACTTCAGTCCCGAGTTGTCTCCCAGTCCAAAAGGTTCTTCCTTTGAAGCAGCCAGGTGGGTATTACCTTTGGAGGCTGTGAGTGTGTGTGTGTGTGTGTGTGTGTGTGTGTGTGTGTGTGTGTAACTGTAGGAACTGCTGCCCCAGCAACAGCAAGAGGAGGAAATCCCCCACTGACAGATGCCTCCTTACAGGAGAGCACCAGCGTATGGAGCCCTGCCAGGAAGTACCTGCATCTGCCAGTGTACACCTGGAACCTGTCACTCTACCTCTCCTCCTCTTCTTTTTATCAGTCCGGATTTGGGGCTTTGAGAAGACAGGCCTCAGCAAGTCCAGTTGAACTCTGCCTTTCGACAGAAGGTTGGTTCTCGGGACCCAAACAACCTACAGCGCAGGGTAGAAGTAGAGCAGGTGCCCCTTGGAACACCCGAGATCTTTTCCCATCTCGCTGGAGGTGAGGATTTGTTTCTTATACCCAAAAAGGCACTCTGGGGGGATTGCAACTTAATTCTATCAGGGTTTATCACTGCCCCAGGTTTAACTCACTGGGTAGAGGGTACCTAAAACAGCAAATAGCCACCGCTCAAAATTAGCAACACAGGGGTCAGGGGATAGCTGAAGTGGTGGAGCAGATGCCAAGCCTGTGCTCACGATCACGATCATCCTGTTGTTCGATGACTGCCTCAAGCAGGCACCAGTAACGTCTCCTTCGTCCTAGCCCTGAGATTTTAAGAAGTGCCATATTCAAGGCTCTTTCAGGGTCAGAAGAATGAGACCCATCATTGTTACTGGTATTTGGCATACTGGGTACGCCACGGGGAGTTTGCCAGACTCTGCCATGTGGGCAGGTTACATTCGGTAGCCTGCCAGGTTGTCCAAAGCAAGAAAGAGATAATAAGCTTGTGCTAAGGCCCTGAATTCCATGATGCCTGGCACATCTTGGCCCTTCTAAGCACTGCTGAGTGCGGCCCTTCTTCATTAAAAAAGGTAAAGGTAAAGGCCCTCCCGTTGATCGTTGATTTTGCTCGAGCGGGCCCAGTAACGTCTCCATTGGAGACTTTGTTGTTACTGTGTCTGGCATATCGAATACTCTCGGTAGCTTGCCGGGCTCTCCGAGAGGGGCGGAGGAATCGAACTCGGGTCGGCCATGTTGACCGCTTGTAAGGCGAACGCCCTACCCGCTGTGCTACTGCTCCAGCCCATTACTTCATTAAAAAGTAAAACAAAATTAGCACATATTTCCAAATAAACAAAGGCCTGGGATGCAGTTCAGCCATAGGGCACATGGCTTTCACATGCCCCAGGTTCTGGATTCATCATTAAAGACAACAGATGCCATGGGGGTATGACTGGGTTTCTCTTATTCTTCTGCATTATTCCCAATATCACACATTGCCTGTTATCACAACATATTTGTGAGCACTAAATGGAAAAGAAAAAGAGTGCAAGAAAGAATGTTATGGGCTGGAGCAATAGCACAGCGGGTAGGCCATTTGCCTTGCACGCGGCCGACCTAGGTTCGATTCCCAGCATCCCATATGGCCCCCCGAGCACCGCCAGGAGTGATTCCTGAATGCAGAGCCAGGAGTAACTCCTGACCATCGCCAGCTGTGACCCCCCCCCAAAAAAAAAAGAAAAAAAAGAATGTTGTTCAAAAAGGCCTTAAAAGTGCACCTTGGAGAAAGATGTTCAAGATGTTAATGATTAAGTAAACAATCTGAAGAAATGAAGAAATACCTTTCAGAAGATTCCAGTTTCAGTTTCACCAAAAACAAGAGCAATCTACAAAGAGCATAATCTTGTATTTAAGAGTGTAGATTCTGAGGCTGGAGAGACAGTACAGTGAATAAGGTGCTTGCCTTGTACACAGCTGATGCAGGTTCAATCACCCAGCACCACATATAGTCCCCAGAGCCCTGAAAGTAGACCCAGGAGCAAGCCCTGAGCACAGCAGGGTGTGTGCGCCCCCCCCCATACCAGAGAGAGTGAGTGAGTGAGAGAGAGAGAGAGAGAGAGAGAGAGAGAATGTGCGTATTCCCAGGCAGAATGTAGCTCAGTGGTAGAGCTCCTCGTCTTGCATGTGTGAGGGCCCAGGGTTCCATCCACAGCAACTCCCCTCCCTCAAAAAATTATACAGTAAGGACTCTACCATTAGCTACCTCTGTGACCTAAGATTGCTGTCTGGCTTTAATTTCAAACGGAAAAACAGAAATAACACTGACTTCAAATGTTTATTAAATGATATCAAATAAGTAAAGTTCTTAGTACAAAGTTGGTAAACAGTCACTGTCACTGTCCTCCCGTTGTTCATCGATTTGCTGGAGCACCAGTAACGTTGTGTGTGTTACTGCTTTTGGCATATTGGATATGCCAGGGGGAGCTTGCCAGGCTTTGCCATGTGGAGGAGATACTCTCGGTAGCTTGCTGAGGGGGGTGGAGGAATAGAACCTGGGTCGGCCACGTGCAAGGCAGACGCCCTATCCGCTGTGCTATCTCTCCAGCCCTGATAAACAGTAAGTCCTCAACAGTTTAGCATGGTTACTATTATTATTCTTTTGGTTTTTAGTCCATACCCAGTAGTTCTCAGGGGCTCCCCCCAACTCTGAGCTGGGGATGGAAGGTCGGATGGCTCCTGGTGCCATCAAGAGAGTGCAGTGCACTGGAGATCAAACCCAGGTTTCTAGAGGTGAAGCATGAGCTCCAACGCACTGAGCTGTCTCCCGGCCCCTGCCCAACTCCTACTACTAATGCTGTATTAAATCTCTCCTTCACTGGGTGGAGAAGGAATAAAGGAGATTTTCCTCCTGAAAAATGTTCGTTCTTGGCTAAACAAGAAGTCTAGCTCCAACTGCGAAGCGCCCCCACCCCAGACTGCAGAACTCAGTGGCCTGACATGTCTCAACAAGCCTCCACTAGATGGTGACAATGTGGGTGCCGGAATCCCCAGAACCAGAAGGTGTGTGCGCCCCCATCCATTCCAGCCTGAAGGAATCCTGGGGGAACCGAGGGGCCTGGCCCAACTAGCCCCCGTGAAGTTTTCCATGTTAAAGAGCCGACGTGCCAGCTCTGATGCCTACACAATGGGGTGTCAGCTCCCGCACCCAGCCCCCGGGGCCAGCTCGCGCAACAAAGCCCCGCGTGCAAGAATTCCGGAGGGGCCGCTGCCCCAGCAGCCGCGGCTGCTCGCATCCATGCACCCTTCCCGGCCTCCTTGCCGCCCCCACCCCATCCCCCCCGGGAACTCCAAAGACCCCCTCCACCAAACACCTTCCCTCCCTCGTGCCGGCACGGGGTGGGGGTACAGGTTAACTTAGACTTCCGTTTCAGCACAGCCCTGGATGGGACTCCGCAGAGGCTGCTCTGAACACCAAGAGTAAAAACAAAAAAAAAAAAAGAAAAAAAAAAGAAAGTACATCAACAAACAGGAAGTGGTTTCGGGGAGTCTCAGCCCGGATGAAAAGAAAAGTTTCTCTCTCCCTTTTTTTTTTTTTTGGCTTTGGCGATCCCAATGCGCTCGGACTGCAAGGAGAGCGCGCGGGGAGCTCGCGCACACAGGGGCTGGGGGGCTAGCGTACGCCGGGGGGCCCACGCACTCGGGGTAGGGGGGTGGGGTCTCCCCCGGGCCGGAGAGGCTCAGGAAACCAGCCGGCTCGGAGCCCGACCCGCCCGACGCAGGCTCGGCTGGGGGCTCCGAGTGGGCTGCAGAGAGGAAGCGGCCGAGAAGGGAGGCGCAGAGGTCGTGGGGGGTGGCAGGGGGTGCTTCCCGCTACCCCCTCGGATCCCGCGGACCCCCGCCAGGTCGGGTCTCCCCGTCCGGAACTCCCGCGCACGGCCCTCCTCGGCGAGGCCCGGGCCGCGGCCCTGGCACACACACACACACACACACACACGCGCGCGCACAGACACACACGCACACACACACACACACGCCGCGTCTGTCGGGGAGGGGGGGTCAGAGGGGTCAGTCTCCCCGGGGCTCGCGCGCGGCGGGGTTTCCCCACCCCCGCCACCCCCCACCCCCGGCGCGTCCCTGACAGCGTCCGCGCGGGTGACACCGGCCCCGGCCCCCCGCGCCGCCCCTCGGCCGCCGGTCGCGCTTGACAACTCACCGGGGCTTCGGGCCGGCGAGCTCCGGGAAGGGGACGGTGCGCTGCCGCGGCCCGCTGGCGTCCAAGGCGAGGCCCCCGCGTGCCCTGGTCTGGCCGGCGCTGCGGGACGAGGCGGTCGCCGGCTCGGGGGAATGGAACGCAGCGACGGCAGCAAGAGCGGCGGTGGCAGCGGCGGCGGCGGCGGCAGCAGCGCCCGCGTCACTGGCCCAGCTGCACGGCGCGGCGAGCGAGGCCGCCGGACGGGGGAGGGGAAGGGGCGGGCGGAGGGGCGTGGCCAAGCGCGCACGCAACAAGCGCGGGCGCCCCGCCCACCCGCCGCCGCCCTCGGCGAGGCCCCGCCTGCAGGCGGCCGCCACCGCGCCTGCGCCGCCTCTTGGCTCCGCCTTTCCTCCCCCCCTCCCCTCCCGCCACCGCACACCCCGCTGGAGACGAGACTAGGGGGCGGAGCTATCTTAAAGAGACAGTGACGCCAACTGCGGCTAGTAGAGTGGAATTCCCTAACCCCTACCCTCTTCTCGCTACCCTTTGCAACGCGGTCTCCAACTTGTTGACGGTCATTATTTGGGGGTAGGGGGTAGGGGGTAGGGGAGCGGGGTGTTTGTTTTCAGTGTTGCTTGGATGATTAAGGCAGCAGTATTTGCGGGTCTTGGGCTTTTTCTCAGGGTCACAGGCACGTTTCTTGTATGGTGTTGCCTTATTAACGGAGGTAGCTCAATTGTTTCCTAGGAAGCAGTACTTCTCGAAAGGGGGTTGCTGAGCCTACCAGCCTAAGTCTGCCCACCCCCCGGTTGGGGGAGGGGAGGGTATGTGTCAAAGTACGGGTTCCTCCAGCCCTTCCGATTCGGTAAAGCTAGACTGGGACTCCAGGCAGTCTCAATTAATGTGCACCCTGAAAGCCAGAAAGACAGACCCCAGGGTTGAGAAAACAAGTGCAGGACTGGAAGGCCAGAGTGGCACCCCGACACACTCCTAGCGAGCATTCCTGCCCGGAGCCTGCCTTCCGTGCACCTTGCCAGCTCTCTGTTCACCCGCTGCTACGTCATTTATGACTGGGCTCGCCGGGGCCCGTGGAACTGAGCTGGCACTTGTGGCTTACAGGACTTGAGGCTCCTTGATCGCGATATTGGAGACTCTGTACCCCACTATGTGGCTTTTGCACCGTGTCAGGTACTCAGTAATCATCGCGGCTCTCCTATTTGAGAATCAGGGTCAGAGTCCGCTGTTGGACCCAAGCAGGCGCCTCCTCCTCCAAATGCCCTTTGGACAGGGATACACCCCTTCAAGGCTTCTCACCAAGCTTAGCTCTGGTAGGTTCTGAGCAAGTGCTGTGAATAACAAGGAGTTAGGTGACTGAAACCAAGCTGGCAGAGAACCTCCATCCACCCCTGCACAAAGACTCTACTCACCCACACACACACACACACACACTTTACACACTTTTTTCTTTTAATTTTATTGAATCACCGTGAGACAGTTATAAGCTTTCATGTTTGGGTTACAATCACACAATGATCAAACCCATCCCTCCACCAGTGCACATTCCCCACCACCAATATCCACAGTATACCCCCACTTTCCCACCCTCCCTCTGCCTCCATGGCACACATGATTCTCCATAATCTCTCTCTACTTTTGGGCATTATGATTTGCAATACAGACCCTGAGAGGTTATCATGTTTGGTCCTTTATCTACTTTCTGCACACATCTCCCATCCCTACCAATTTCTCCAGTCATCATTTTCTTAGTGATTCCTTCTCTATTCCAACTGCCCTCTCCCCTTTGCTCATGAGGCAGGCTTCCAGCTATGGAGCAATCTATCTGTCCCGTGTATCTACTGTCCTTGGGTGTCAGCCTCATGTCATGTTGTTTTATACTCCACAAATGAGTACAGTCCTTCTATGTCTGTCCCTCTCTTTCTGACACACACACCTTCATCTCTAAAAGAATCCTCTTTTGAGCCCTCGGGATCTATGGATCAATGGCTCTAACTGCCTACTGAGCCCCCCACCCCACCCCAATTCACTGCAGACGACAAATGTCTCCCTGGTTCACTACACACCCCCACCCTCCACTGGGGCTGCATGGCACAAACCTGAGATCTTCCCTGGGTGTGCCTGGCTCTGCTGGTGTGGGGTGTAGAGTGTCCCAGGCCCACCCAACCCAGGAATGTGGCAAGGGAAAGCAAGGAAAGCGCTGTGGAGAATTCCAGAAGAATTGTTAGAGAGAAGAAGAGGACAGAATATCCACAAAGGCAGTTTGGTGTAATGGAAGACAGGCTAGGACCATCATCAGAATCCCTCAGCAATCTAAGGTGGGTTTCTGCAGTCCCTGGAAAGCCAAGCAATTGACAGACACAGGGTGACGGGTTGAGAAAGAGCTTTCCTGGCAATAAGCCGGCAGTAAGAAGATGAGGAACTCATATTTCCAAAGTAGTCACATTGTCTGTGTGGTCACGGGAGCTGGTTTTATGGCAAAGAGACCAGGGAAGCCCACTTCCAGAATGGGCTGGTTGTGGCCCAAGGGGGGGGGGGGCGCCTGAGTGATCAATAAATGCTTTCCTGAGTTCCCAGAGGCATACTAAACTCAGGTTTTCAAGGAAGGTTTCAAACTACTATCCTTATCTGGGTTTTCTGCAGGACAGGATAAGGGCAGCTGGCTCTGTGCAGAGGCGCCTGGATTCAGCTACTACGCCCTTGGGGTTGGTTAGATGACCACTAGCCTGTCCCGAGAGCTGTAAGATGCATCCACTCTTGCATGAAGATTGTCACTACCTGGAAGCCCTCTCTGAGATCCCCATGAGAGTCACTTAACCAAATCAAACTCACCAGGTATGGTGGGCTTCACAAACTGGCATAACCCCCACATCCACCCCTGTCCCTTGAAGCCTCACTGCCCTTCCTACCTCTGCAATCCAAGTTCCCTGGAACTTTTTCTTCTGGAGCAGTCTGGATGAATCTCTTTGGCACTCGTGTTCCTCTGCCTTGAATTACCAGGATCAAGGATGTGTCTTTTCCCCCCCGGGGCACATACTGTTTCCCAGCTTCCCCTGTCCCTGACTCTTCCTCTCCTGCCTCTTTGCATTGCACTGGCCTCTACAGAACTGAGCAAAAACCCCTGGTATAGTCTGTGTGTAGGTTTAGCCTGGCCCACCTGCAAAATGAAGGTGGTCTTCCCCGGCCTAGATGCAGTGTGTTTGGTTATTCAAGAGGTAGGTCATTTCCAAGATGATAGTTAAGAACAGTTTAGACTTAGAGACTATTAACCATCAGGTATTTTTTTTTTAGTACACAGATAAGGGAATGTTAACAAATATTTTTAGGGGCTGGAGAGATAGAGCAGGGTTAAGTCACTTTGCCTTGCATGTGGCTAATTCCAGTTTGAATCCATGGCTCCACATATGGTTTCCAGAGCTTTGCCAGGGGTAATGAGCACAGTAACTCCTGAGCACTGCTGGGTATGGCTCAAAAACAGAAAAAATATTTTTTTTTAAATTTAGCACCTTGACTGAGACCACACAATTCCCATGCCATACCCTTCACAGTTTGGATGTATCATTACATATTCATAGTGTACAAGTCAGTGTTTTTTTTTTTATCTGTTTATAGAGTTGTACAACCATCACCACAAAACTGTCAATTAGTATGTGTAACATCTAGAATGACAACTATTTATTGAGCATCTGTTGTGCACCAAATACTGGTAGAGATCTTACACATGTAACCAGTAATTTTGACAATACTCAAAGTACCATTAATATTATTTTATATGTGGGGAAACAGGCTCAGAGAGATTTTTGTGACATCAAAGCCATCTCTGTTGCAAAATCAGAGTCATACTTGTTTGTTCCCAAAGTCAACCTTCTCCAAATAAACTATATGCCCCATCTCATGTAACCTAGTAAAAATAGCGAAGAATCCCCAACTGTTCTTATCTATCTCTTGACGGTTGTAAAAAGTGCTTTTTGTGCATACCAGTTTATGTTTAGCTCGTACCATTCCACAAAATGACACATTCTTACCCCCAGGTTCACCTCTAAGAATGTTGAAGGCTATATGGTATGCTGCTTCAATATCCAGTACCCTGTATGGTCTTCTGAGCCCCTCCAGAAAAGATCCCTTAGCCCCAATAGGTATGGTCCCTTAATTATTTTTTTAAAGGCCAGAGTAATAGTACAGTGAGTAGGGTGTTGGCCTTGCATCAATCCCTGGCACCCCATATAGTCCCCAAGTGCTGCCAGCAGTAATTCCTGAGTAGAGAGCCAGGAGTAATACCTGAGCACTACACACACACACACACACACACACACACACACACACTCACAAAGAAGAAAGTTGAAGCATCAGACTACTGGTTTATCTGACCTACAGCAGGAACTGGCATATGGGGTTTTCATCGTTGGGATTCAAAATTCTAAGTCCTGTGAAAGTCCATGACAAGCCTGCCTGACCTCAGGGGAGGAGGAGGTATGTCAGCCTTATCTTTAAAGACAGTGGGAGGAGCTGGAGAGATAGCACAGCAGGTAGGGCGTTTGCCTTGCACGCAGCCAACATGGCCAACACAGGTTCGATTCCCAGCATCCCATATGGTACCCCGAGCACCGCCAGGAGCAATTCCTGAGTGCATGAGGCAGGAGTAACCCCTGAGCATCGCCGGGTGTGACCCAAAAAGCAAAAAAAAAAAAAAAAAAAAAAACAGTGGGAGACCAATCTAGGGGAGCAGCTGAGCTGAGGGGCACCCCCTCTCTGGAAGACCCTGCACTTGGAAGTTTGAATACCTGAACTAGCAGATCAGGGAGGGCTTTTGTCAAGGTCAGAGGTCAGAGTAGGATTGCCCAAAACACTGCACCCACCCCCCTCATCCTGCCCCTCCTTGCTCTGGGGCACCTACATAATAAGCTCCTGGAATTTCCCTGTTGGAAACAGGGTGGGGTGGTGATCCAGCCCCTTTTGCTCTTCTGAAGCACTAACAAGTCCTGGATAACTTTTTCTTTATTTTATTTTATGCATTTTATACATCATATTTTGAACTGTGGTTTACATTAAAGTTAAGGACAGGATCGCTTGCATCAATTCAGGACCACAACCAGTGTTCCAGAGTCCCCTATCCCATCCTATTCTCCCCACCCCCGCCCCTGTAAGCTTCCTACAGAAGACCAGTTTCTGTTGCCTTTGGGCAGTT